TGGAACGTTCAGGCAAAAGCCGTTATGATAAAAGCCGGTTTGTGGAATTATGTTCTAAATCCTAAATCGCCGAATACTGAAAAATATCTTGAGGTTATTGCAAATTATGAATACAATGAACTCCTTGCCAGGTCAGAACTTGTTTTGATAATTTCATCTCAAGAAATAAAATATGTAAAAAACTGTTCAACTGCTAAAGATATATGGCAAAACCTACTAAGGAGGCTTCGCTCCTCAAACGATTAATTGTTGCAAAATATAAAGAACGTGATGAATTAAGAGCACTTAGACAATTTAATAGACATTGTAGATAAACTCGCCAACATGAATATCGATATATATAATATATATAATAGAACTGCTACACATCTGAACATTTTCAAGCTGCGAAAAGAGTTCTGCGATATTTACAAGGAACTAAAGACTTAGGCCTGATTTACATAAAAGGAAACATGAAACTTGAAGGAGCAACTGATGCTGATTGGGCATCGTGCGCCATTGATCGTCGCTCAGTGACAGGCTACGTATTTACATATGGCGGAACACCAATAAGTTTGGAGGCTAAGAAGCAAAGAACAGTCGCACTTAGTACAGCTGAGGCGGAGTACATGGCTCTAACGGAGGCATCGAAAGAAGCCATATACCAGAAAATCTTGCTAAATTATCTGAATATAAAAACAGGAATCATTGATATTTATAATGATAATCAAGATGCGCAAAAGTTGGTCAGGAACCCAACTATAAGCACTAAATCCAATCAAGGAGCATTTTGTTAGATATGCTATGAAGGATGGACACATAAATGTAAAATACCGTGCTACAGATGATATGGAGGCTGATGTCCTCACAAAAGCTTTATCTGCCATGAAGTTTATTAAACTTAGGACTAAGATGAATATAGTCTGATCTGATTTCGTGAGGCAGAGTGTTGAAGAGCTAACCTAACCTACTTGCACGATATGATACATACTGGCCATTAATGAACGTTTGTATTTGAACATGTCTGTCATTCTTATTCTATTGTATTAAAAATTTAGAAGATTTAAGATTGATTTAAAACTATGAATATAATGTCTTAAAAAATGTAATGGTTGAATGTAAATAAAAGAACAAATCCAAACTTTCTTACCAAATCCAATTCAATCCATAGTCATAATCATACTACGACTACTGCATTAGTTAAAATCACTGATGATAACCGGTTCGGTATGGATAACCAGTGAGTTACTGACTTTACTAGATTTCAGCAACGCTTTCAATAATGTTGATTAAGAGTTACTCTTAGCCATTCTAACTTCTTTAAACATATCTCCTAAGGTCGTTGACTGGTTTCATAGTTACTTGCACGGGCACCGGCAACGGATTAAGGTCGAGGAAAAATATTCGGCCTGGAGTGCGATTAATGCCGGGTACCGCAAGGTGGCGTGTTGTCTCCTCTTCTATTCTCAATCTTCATTAGTTCAATCACTCAACATTTAACTTCTCTCTACCATCTTTATGCTTATGATCTTCAAGTTTACGCTCAATCCAAATTACCAGATTTAACCATAACTATAGATGAGGTTAATAAATATCTAAATACCATTGTAGAATGGAGCAATTATTAAGGACTGAAGGTAAATCAAATCCATCCAAAACACAAGCTATTATTATAAACAGCCAAAGATGGGTTTCACGAATTGATTTGACTACTCTTCCTTGTATAGTTTTTGACGGGGTCCAATTGCAATATAGCGGTACGGTTAAAAATTTAGGTGTTTTGTTTGATAAATTTCTCTCTTGGGTTCCCCAGGTTAGTGAAGTGAGTAGGAAGATGTTTGCAGCAGTTAATTCTCTTCGTAGATTGAACTTCTTACCCATACTTACCAAAATTGCGCTCGCGGAATCTCTCCTCTTACCAATTCTAGATTATGCTGATACACGTTACTTAGACTTAAGCATTGAACAACTTAATAAACTTGAGCGCATCCCAAATCTTTGCATACGGATCATATTTTGACTTCGTAAATATGTATGTACATACGTTTCTGAATTCCGAAATAAGCTCAAGTGGCTTCCAATCCGCCTTCGCAGGAATACTCACCTTCTATCACTCCTTTATTCTGTTCTTTTCAATCCAACCACCCCTCCTTATCTTACGAAGCGATTTGAGTATCTCTGTGATTCTCACCCAGATTGATCACTTCGATCCAATGACAATTTAATCACAGAAATCCTCCCCATAGTACATCTTCCTACTCCAAGTCCTTTTCTGTGGAAGCTGTTCGGCTCTGGAACTCTCTCCCACTACATATTAGGCGGGCACAATCGCTACCTATTTTCAAGCGACTTTTAAGAAAACACTTTATGCCTCCTTAATAATTGTGTTCCATTCCTCGATGTTGTCAACTTATGTCTAAATATTTATACATTATTTTAACGTATATATTTATATATGATGTTTGCATGTAATACACATGTATAATTTCTTATTATGTATTTATACTTTGACTTATTAGTTTCTGTTATCAATTCTGTGTACACTGTTATCCGATGCTACTGTTTTTACTGTCTTCTGTTGTAACTTTTCTTATGGGATGGTGTTTAGTTAATGATGGGAGATTTAATAAAAGATATATTAGCAGTTAAGAAGTTGTATTTATCCCTTCAGTTTAATGTTACAATCCCTGGACTAGCTCAGATACAATATATTTTCAAAATATAACAATAATAATGAGTTGGGCGCCTTGTCTGTTAGGAACAGACTGTTGTAATAAATACAATTAAGTATCTCAGGGAGTCGTGAGTACATAGGACCTACACATTACTTTGTGCGACCATAAAAGGTTAAATAATTCAATTAATTTGAGATGGTAAAACTTATGCAATTCAATTTAAAAAAACAAAGTCCAATCAGGTAGTTATTTTAAAATCTATGTCACCGCAGAGACATCTGCCCTGTGTGCACAGGTCAGCGTTGAGCTCAGAACCAGTAGAGAAAGTCAGGCCAAGTGTAGTGTGTACAGCCACACTGTCGGGGGTATATAGGAGACCTCCTGCCAACAAACACTACATTGTAGAACTAACAAAGGCAGGGATTTGAATCCACCTACAATTATAAGATGTGAAACACTTACAAACTGGAGGTAAAAAACAACATTCAATCGAGCAGCAGCTCAGACCAGCTTGCCAGCCACCTATGCCTTCAGCATCCACCTGTGATATTCGAAAAACCATACTTAGAAACACGAGACAATAAATTCTCAACCTACCTTCATGTGACATTTCTAAATACATTCACAATGCAAGTCTTTTACAATTTTAGTAGGAAACCAGTGAAAATAACAGAGGATCTTACCACGAGGGATAACAAATTCAGCACAGAGTTTCCCAGACAGCAATCACAAATAATACGACCAGGAACGTGTTCTGATTTCAACCTCTAGCTATGCATTGTAAAAAAAGCGAATTGATAAGAAAACGAAATACGTAAACAAAACAACCACTGGCATGAACTAAACCAAGTAACTACTTACCAGACGAAGTTAGTGGATCCACAAAAATTAATTTATCCAATGTCAATTCGAACCGGCGGCAATCTCAAATGACAAGTACGACCAAATGAAGTTAACTTTTATATTCGTCCTTTCGAACTGGCAAAGGTTCATATGACATGCAGCTTAGTCTTTAGAAAAACAACAATTTCGACAAAGTGATGAAATCACACGTTACACTGTTGCCTGGAAGAAATCGCTTTTTAGCGATAAGGCCGCCTATTGTACAAATTTGTACTATTTTTTGTTGATTATTCAATATTCGTTGTTTGTGTACAATAAAGTATATTTCATTTCATTCAATATCATCTTCCAGATCATTTTAATTTATATCATCTTGTATGTATATTTTATGTATTCTAATGATTAATATTTTCTTTGACATTGTTTTGATTTTATTGTTGACATATTCATTTCTGAAGTAATACAAATTATATTATATTTACTTTTCTTGACCATTTTGAATGCAATAATTAATTTTATCAGATAATTATTTTGCCTTGACAATATAAAAAAATCGTTACATTAAAATTGAGAAGTTTTTGTTTGAATTTAGTCAATTTTAGTGGGTTTCCGAATTGCTTTAGGAGTATTATTTGTGAACAGTTGGTGACACTGTTCCATGGGCAAAACAGCAAACTACAATATATCTTATAAACTTTTTTCTTGGCAAAAAGTCTTGTAGTGAAACCACAGTAAATAATGAAAAAATAACCTGTCAAATTCCTTTCCTATAATATTAGAAAAAATTAAAAATTTAAAAACTAGTCTTAATGACTCGGAGATAAAAAACTAAAATGTGTTTAACCACAATTGTACTTAAAACGTCGAGTACCGTTTTCTAAAGGAATAAAAGGCTTGTTTCTATATAAATGGTATATTTATAAAATAAACAGTAATAATTTCACATGTAATTTTGCTGGTTGTTTTGATATTTTGTGTTATTATGCTGTATTTCAAGTTACGATATTTTTTATTCTTATTTGCCTTAGTTTTAAATATTAATTATGCTCTTTCTGAACTTCTTACGGCAACTATTATCGCTGGTACAATGGTAGGTGGGTGGTTTGGTTGGGACACCTTAAAAGCGAATACTGTTTGTCGTTTTACGGAATGTTGTAACGACAGATATGTGCCATATGATTTAAACAGTAAGTTAACATTTCTTTTAATTTGGTACTGACTTTTAAACATAAATACGGACGGGGATATAAATTTTTATCCACATGAATGAATATTAGTACATAAATATTTTTTTTTACAGAGTTAAAAGTTAATCTTTCACAAAAAATGTTTGGTCAGCCATTAGTTAATGAGTTAGTGAATATACTACTTGCTCATAATGAAAGCATACACAACAAAAGTAGAAAAAATAAGAAGGCTTTAGTCTTGAGCCTACATGGATGGTCTGGTGTTGGTAAAAATTTTGCAGCATCTCTAATAGCCGAAGCAATATATCTTAAGGGCATGCAAAGTCAGTTTGTAAAAGTCTTTATGGGAAAGAAAGATTTTGATTGCAGTGAAATCGAAAACGCTAAAGTAAGCATTTGAGATTATTTTAGTAATTTTTATTCACTGTTGTTATTAAAATTTACAAATGATTTATTTTCAGAAAAACTTAATAGCGAAAGTCAATGAGATTGTGAGGAAATGTCCAAGAGCTTTAATTATATTTGATGAGATTCATGACATGTGTCCTTCTGTTTTGGATGCCATAAAGCCCATGCTTGATCATCACCATGCTGTTGATGGCATTGATTACAGGTAAATATACTGTATTCCGACACATACAAAGATACTTTTTTTCATTATAAATTGTAAAATACTTATTGTAAAATACTTATAATATCACTAATCACACTATTCGGCTGCCTAGGTAACTATCCACAACACAGGTTCACACCGTGCGACCACTCCTTACACACTGAGTATCAGTCGACTCCCCCCACTATATATCACTGGACTTCCCCCACTATAACACTCTCTCCCACCTGTACACTACATCTCTTCCTTATTTTAATTTAAATAATAAAAGTATACAACGGAATTCCTAACATCTTTATTAAGTACTCATGCATAATTATACTGCTTATAATTACAAAGATACACAAATTAAATTATTATCAATCTCCATTATCACTTTCAGGATTCACAATATTCCAATTACCATTCTCTACTCTCTTGAGATGGATGATATTTCTTCGAAACTCTTTCCCCGTAGAATCGTTTGATACTTTTATGTCTCCACCATTAACATCTTTCACAGTATGTGTATCCGGATTATAGTTTGGGGTTAGTTTGTTATCTTTAACCATATTCTTCACGTAAACCTTTTCCCCTAAGTTGCAATCCACTGCTTTCCTTTTTCGGTCCACATATTCTCTTCCTTTCTCCTTTTTTTCCTTATCTCTGTCTCTGATGTCCGAATCCATTGATTCCATTTTATGCTCCATGTCCATAGCTGTAGGTATTTTATCTCTGAACTGCCTGTGAAAGAAAAGTTCTGCGGGAGTTTTTCCGGTTGTGGAATGGGGGGTGCTATTGTACATAATTAAATATTCCAGAAGTTCTTCTTTCCAGTTTTTCTTTTCCACTTGACAGATCTTTAAACGTTTCAGTACATCTCTATTCTGGCGTTCAACCTCGCCATTCATTTGCGGCCAGTAAGGAATGGTATTGAACATTACAATGCCGCACTCTTTGCAAAATTCTTTAAAGATCTCGCTAGTGAATTGCTTACCATTATCGCATGTCAATGTCGAAGGGTATCCTAGTCGAGAGAATATTTCCTTAAGATTTTTCACTGTTTCTGTAGCCGTGATATTTCTCATAACTTTTATTTCTTTATATCGACTGTAGTAATCGACTATAATAAGCAAATAATCATTTGATGGAAGGGGTCCTAGAAAGTCTACCGCAACGTCAATCCAGGGTTCGACAGGGAGATCTCGTCTCTTAATAGGATGTGGTGGATTGGGTGCTGAGACAAGTGTGCATCCTCTACAAGCTCTGACTCGATTCTCAGCGTCTTTATCAATTTTTGGCCACCACACCTTAGTTCGGAGGCGAGTCTTCATGGCCACTATTCCAGGATGGCCTTGATGAGCTGCTTCTAGGACTCTTTGTCTTAGTTTCTTAGGGATAATAAGTTTACTCCCTCGAAGGGCTATACTTCCTTGAAAGCATATTTCTGTCTGAAAAGTTTTATAGCCGTTCATAAATTCATCCCATGTGTTTTCATAGATTCCTTTCTTTAATGCCAGGATTTCTTCATCAATTGCAGATTCCGCTTCAATTTCATGTAATGGAACTGCGACTGGTCTGCTAAACTCCACAATTGAATTAATATAGTTCTCATTGTCGAAAGGTTTAAGCGTATTCGATTGGCAAAGACGCGAAATAGGGTCAGCGATATTTTCCTTGCCCGGTCGGTAAATTACCCTGTACTTGTAAGCCTGCAGACGTAGAACCCATCGTTCGATGCGGGCACAAGGTTTAGATTTAGGCCCGAAAATAATTTCCAAGGGTTTGTGATCGCTGATAAGTTCGAATTCTTTGCCAAGTAAGTATATTTTGAAATGCTCTACTGCCCATACAAGAGCTAAAGCCTCTTTCTCCGTCTGACAATATCTCTATTTGAGTTCTATCTTCTGGGTTATAAAAGCCCAGTGTTTGTATGTTTGACAATCGTTTCTTCAGACTTTCAAATGCCTCATCCGGAGAAAGTTCCAATATTTCCGAATACTTGCAGATTTATTTAACTTCAACCGTCTTATCCGTCGTAAGGGCTCCGTGAGCGATGCCAGATTGGGTATCCACTTCCCCACGTAATTGACCAAGCCAAGGAAACTTTGTACTTCATCAACGTTGACGGGTTTTCTTGATGACTGAATGGCGTCAATATACTTATCGAGGGGTTTTATTCCTTTTTCAGAAAGTTCATGCCCAAGAAACTCAATTCGTTTTGTTTTATAAATACATTTTTCCTCATTAAGAAGGACATCATTATCCTTCAATACTTGCATTACTCTGTTAAGGCGATAGTCATGTTCTTTTTCATCACACCCATAAATTATTATGTCATCAATAAAATTTGAAGTACCTTCACACCCCAACAACATTTTCTCTAGTACTTTCTGAAACATTTCAGGGGCACACGACACACCAAACATGAGTCTTTTATAGCGGTATAGGCCTTTACTGGTGCTGAAAGTTGTAATGTACCTGCTGTCTTCATCAATTTCTAGTTGATGGAATGCATTTTTTATATCAAGCCGGGAAAAATACTTAGCTTGTCGAAAATTTGGTAATAATTCGTCCATTGTTGGGAGTGGGTGATTCTCCCTTATGATAGCTTCGTTGGCTCTTCTCATGTCAATACAAATCCTGATTTCCCCGTTTTCTTTGAGAACTGGAACCATTGGAGACACCCATGGTGATGGTCCGTTGACTTCCTCAATGATGTCGGCTTCTTTGAGTTCAGCTAGTTTCATGTTTACCTTTTCTTCCAAAGGTATTGGTATTCTCCTGTACGGTTGTACGACAGGTTTTTATTTCTCTATTGATAGGGATCTGAATCGTCACGTCCTTTAATTTAGGAAAGGTACTGATGCTATTTATCTTGTTGCCAATTTTAAGCACGTTCAGTTCAATGGCAGTTTTCTTCCCAAGAAGGTTCCGTGTTCCATTTCGAATGACGTAAAAAGTGGCTTTTATGCCCCTTCTTCCACTAACCGTTATATTGGCATTAAATGCGCCAAGTACATCCAGTGGTATTTGACTCCCGTATGGCAACAGTATCTTTTCAGGATTCTTAATTTGATTCGTAACTTTCACCTTTTGGCTTTTTAAAAATGTCCATGTATTATCGGAAATGATATTGCACCTACTACCCGAATCGATTAGCATTTCTATTACAACATCACCGACTTTGCATTTGATGACTGAATCTTCATCCAGATGGAAAACATAGTCCACTTCGTCAGAATCTTTATGACCTTTATTAAATTTTGATCTCTTTCTCCTGTCAAATTTATCATCTGTTTTTGATTCTGTCCTTCGTTTTTGTGGTTTTGTTTAGCAGTGACTCATAAAATGCTCAATAATACCGCATTTCAAACATTTTTTGTCTTTAGCCGGACATTCACTATCAAATGATAAATGTTTGTTACTGCCACATCTGAAGCAAGTTTTTCTAAAACCCCGACTCATTGGCGGTTTCTTAATGTCTACTTTGTTGATGTCCAATTTATTGGCATCCACCACTTTACTCTGTCCAGTTTTTCAAACTGTTCAAGCTGCCTATTTACAGTTTCAAGTGTAGTAGCAATATTAATGACTTGTTGAAGAGAAATACTGTCACCTTCTGCCAAGATTTTCTTCCTTAATGCTGCACTACGGCTTTTCTCGATAATTTGGTCTATCAGGTGTTCTTCCTTAGCCATAAATTTGCATTTGTCAGCTTGGTTTCGGAGTCTTACTAGGAAAGTTTCAAACCTTTCTTCTTGTTTCATAAGTCTAAAGATATATCGTTCGTAGTATCTACTTTGCTTTGGCGAAAAGTATTCATTTAACTTTTCTATTGCGACATCATAGACATCTACACCATCTATTTCATCGACATGGGCACCTGGTAAGTTATAGTAAACTTCTTGTAAGGTCCGCCAATATGTAGAAGAGGAGCTCGTTTTCTTTTGCTCGATTCAATATTTGTGGCTAAAAAATATACTTCCAAAGCTCTTCTCCATTTCTCCCACCTAACCCCAACTGACACTGGGTCGCCCTCACATTCAAAATGATCTAAGCTCGAGACATTTCTGAACCTGTAACAATACATAGTAATTGATCCTCGTTTAATATCACTTGACTTTATGTCTAAACATAGTCTATCTTATTGACTTTCACATTGGCACTTAGGCCCTATCTTATTGGCCATTGCAATACAGTCTTTCTTATTGACTTCATAAACCCAAAGCCTTTCTTATTGACTTCATAAGCCCAAAGTTTTTCTTATTGACTTCATAAGCCCAAAGTCTTTCTTATTGACCTCATATACCCAAAGTCTTTCTTATTGACCATTTTAATACAGTCGTATCTTATTGACCGTTTTAATACAGTCGTATCTTATTGACCGTTTTAATACAGTCTATCTTATTGACCGTTTTAATACAGTCTATCTTATTGACCGTTTTAATACAGTCAATCTTATTGACCTCATTAAACATATAGTCTTTCTTATTGACCATTAAATACATACATTGATATACACGCTGTAGATATATTAGAGCAAATAATTGTTAGTTAATATACTCTATTTAAAGAGAGTCATTTATTATATACATACTGTATTATTGTTAACACCTCAATAAGCAGATCCTCAAATTTGTTGAGTTTATAAAACATCTCATGTTAAACAACGTAAGTAGGTAACTACAGAATTTGGTTGAATAATGTTAACATTATTTAAGGCATAATAGTTTTTTTTTTTTTTTTTTTTTGAGTCCACTTTTTAATGAAATATTTGCATTTACCTATCTTAACCGCTCGCAAACGTTTCGAAAACGGTATAAAAGATAATTCAGGTGTTTATTGAAATATCGGACGAAAGTTCATATAAATTAGGGTCATTACGAGTGGTACAATTTAATAAACTTTTCTTAACGTTATTTTTTGAAAACATTTATTGTTTCTCACACGTGCATGATATCTGATTTTTACTTATTTCTTCCTTCAATTGATAAAATAATGTTTTATATGGGTACTTA